TCCTGAAATAGATGAACATCGACCATTCTTTTTGGTACAGTGACTCTGTGTATTTCTTCCATCTTCTTTTGATGTTTCCTGAATCATTCAATATTTTGCCCATAGATTCTTTCAACATTGCAACTTGAGGCTTGAATATTTTTCTTCAATTCTTTCAGCTTGAGAAATGCCAAGCATGTCCTTCCCTTTTGGTTTTCTAACTCCAGGTCTTTGCACATTGATTGTAATAACTGACTTTGTCTTCCAGAGCTGCTCTTTGAAATCTTCCATTCTGCTCTTTTATCTTGTCATTTTTCCCATTTGCTTTAGCTATTCTCCATTAAAAGGGCAAGCAAGCTTCAGAGTCTCTTCTGACATCCATTTTGGTCTTCTCTTCCTTTCCTGTCTTTTAAATGACCTTTTGCTTTCTTCATGGATGATGTTCTTGATGTCATCCCACAATTTCTCTGGTTTTTGATCATGGTATTCAGTGCATCAAATCTGTTCTTGAGATGGTCTCTAAATTCAAGAGGAATGTATTCAGGGTCATATTTTGGCTCTCATGGACTTGTTTTAATTGTCTTCAACTTGAACTTGCATATGAGCAGTTGATAGTCTGTTTCACAATCAGCTCCTAATCTTGTTCTGACTGAAGTTATTGAACTTTTCTATTGCCTCTTGCCATAGATGTAGTCAATTTGATTCCCATGTATTCCATCTAATGAAGTCCACATGTATAGCTGCCATTTGTGTTGTTGAAAAAAGGTATTCATAATGAATAAGTAGTTGGTCTTGCAAAATTCTATCATGTGATCTCCAGAGTTATTTCTATCAGCAAGGCCAAATTTTACAACTACCAGTGACTCTTCTTTCTTTCCAACTTTTGCATTCCAGTCATCAGTGATAATAAGCACATCTTGATTGCATGTTTGGTCAATTTCAGACTGCCGAAGTTGGTAAAAATCTTCTATTCCCTCATCTTTGGCTTTGGTGGTTGGAGCGCAAATTTGAAGAGTGGTAGTATTAACTGGTCTTCCTTGTAGGCATATGGATATTATTCTATCACTGACAGCATTGTAATTCAGGATAGATCTTTAAATATTCTTTGTAATGATGAATCCCATGCCATTCCTCTTCAATTTGTCATTTCTGGCATAGCAGATCATGTGGTTATCTGATTCAAAATGGCCAAAACTGGTCCATGTCATCTCACTGATGTCTAGGATATCAATCTTTATGCATTGCACTTCATTTCTGACAACTTCCAATTTTCCTAGATTCATACTTTGTACATTCTATGTTCCATTTATCAATGGATGTTTACAGCTGTTTCCCCTCAGTTTGACTCGTGCCACATCAGCAAATAGAGGTCACCAAAGCTTAGGTTTACCTATATCGTTAAGGTTGGTTCTACTGCAATGAGGCAGCTCTTTCCCAGTCATACTGTGCGCACCTTCCAACCTGAGGGGCTCATCCTCCGGCACTGCACCAGAGAATGTTTCAGGGCTATTTGTAACATTGTCCAGTAACGTATCAGACGGTGTTTTTCTGCTATCCATAAGGTCTTCCCTGACCAATTATTTGAGAAGTGGATGGCTTCTTCCTTCTTCCAAGGCTGTCTCAGTTGGGAAGTTCCGCCAAAACCCATCCACTATGGGCAACCCTGCTGGCATTTGAAACAACAGTGGCACAGCTTCCAGCCCCACAGCAACATATAACCCACCACAGTATGACAACCTGACAGACAAGTTCGTCTCCCTTAGTTGTTCCAAACCACTCCACCTACTTCCTGGCCTTTCTCTTACCTACTCCGACCATCACTCCTGGCTTCCTGCTTCCTGCCTGGGTGGCAAGCTCTCCTTAACTTAAACTAGATCAGGCCATCAGACCTGGCTTCCCACTTCCTGCTTTGGGTGGGGGCTCTCCCTCCCCTTACCTGGATTAGGCCGTTGGCCCTGGCTTCCTGCTTCTCTTTAAGCTATCTGTAACCCCTAACAATTCGGTAGACTCTACTTTTATAAACGAAAATGCAACATTTTAAAATAGTATCTGATCACATTTCTGATTGACGTAGAACCCACCCCAAACTCAGGAACTCTTACTAAGTCTCCTTACTTTTCATGGTAATATATACTTATCTGTATCAGTTCAATAAGAATCTGTCCTCCTCCTTTTACCAAGATATCAGTGGATAAGTTGACTGTGCAATCAATGTCTTAACTAGAATGTCCTATTTGAGTACAGAAAGTAGAACATACATTTTTAAGTAACAATAGTCAGCTTTCCTTATGGATCCCAGCCTCAGAGATTGTAAGGAAGGCTACTTCCTGGCACTCCAGGAACCCTACGGTTTTTGGGGGACCTTGAGAAGAAATGAATTCACTCATATTTCTAGGTATTACATATGAAATTTTGAGGAGAGATTTTTTTTTAGGCTTAGTTTCCTATCCTTGGGATAGTAAACAATAGAGGCTTTTAAAAGTCCAACCTGAGATTCCTTATGAAAATGAAAGAAAAGTTAATTTTGTGACTTTAGTAAATGTACAGTACTATGGCTGTTGATTTGGAAAACAAATTCAAGAAAGCCTATATTGTTAATGAATTCTTGCTGCCCTTAGGCAACAGAGCAGGCCAAATATAATGAGACCAGCACTTGTGATCAAGAATAGCTTCTGAGGTTATTGTGATCACAAGGAAATACTGGCTGTCAGGAGAAACTGTGTAAAACTTTAAAATGAGCAAAAAAGATTATCATCTAGAGCACTCTTTTATGCTCATCTGTGCTTTTTATGGTCTTTCTCATTTTGTAACTCCATAAATGGTAAGCACTTGATAGCAATGCAAATGATTCTTTTTGACATAAATACAAATAAAGTTTTGTTTTGAACATAATTGGTAACTGCCCTGTGGAACTGATCAGTTTTACATTGATTACTACATCAATTTTGGTATTCCTGGTAGACTATACATGTAAGTCTTCTTTGAATTCTCCATTGAAATGACTATTAACATTTTATTGGTTCCTTTGGTAATTAACGAGCTAAATTAAATTTCTGACATCTATTCATTTAAAAAAAATTTTTAAAAAGATACGTTTATTATACTACTCTGAAGTAATAAAAATATGCATTTTAAAAGCAGAAGGGAAATAGCTTTCTTGTTGTTGTTATGTGCTGTGGAGTCAGACCCGACTCATAACGACCCCTCCTTGGGTTTCCGAGGCAGTATCACTATGGAAGTAGATTGCCCCATCTTCCTTCTGAGGAATGGCTGATGGGTTTGAACCGCCAGCCTTCTGGTTAGCAGTTCAAGTGCCTTAGGCACTATGCTACCAGAGCTAATAGCTAGTAAAGTTGAAATTAAAAAGTAGGTAAGTAGATAAATTATATTAACAAAAAATATATAAAATTTGAGGAGTTACTAAATGGATGTTCCAGTTAAAGAAAAAAATTACTAGAACTATGAACCCTAAAGTAACTTAATACTGAAGGATACCAACAGTGCTCATATACTGATCTTTCAACTAGGACTTCTGAAAAACTCTCTTCTTTGGGATTATTCTCAAAATAAACTTCCACAAATTCATTTACAAAAATTTTTAAGGTAGTTATACTACAAAAATGCTCTAAGTTCAGCAAGACTATATAGTGGTTTTTTTCTTCTGCTTTGGTTTATAGTGGGCAAGTTAACCTGACCTGTCTGTGTTTAAGTTTACTCATCTCTAAAATGGGTATAATACCACCACTTACCTTTTAAGAGTATTCTGATAATTAAATGAATTAACATGTAAAACAATTAGAACCGTATGTAGCCAACAGCTATTATAATTATTTTATTTGTCATTAGTTTATGTATGTGTGCATAAATACACACACACACATATAAAATGTATTTAAGTATTTGCTAAAGCAAATCAATAAAATTTCTCAAACTCCAGATAATTTGAGCTATTTGTGTTATTATTTGATAATAACACAGAAAACTGAATCATACAAAAACTTAGAAAAGGGTTGTAGAGGAAGTACAAACAAAACAAACATTAAAACGCACCCCGAACTATTCTTCATTTTTTCAAAACTAGAAAGAGCTCTGGTAGTGTAGTGCTAAGGCACTTGGACTGCTAACCAGAAGGCTGGCAGTTCAAACCCACCTGCCACTCCTCGGAAGGAAAGTTGGGCGATCTAATTCCATAATGATACAGCCTTGGAAACTCAAGGAGGGGTCACCATGAGTTGGGTTCGACTCAACAGCACATAATAACAACAGTAATTTATTCACAACACCTAACTCTTTTTCAGTCCCATTTTTAGTAATTGCATACACACTGCCTAAGCTATTTTATGATTTTCACTGATTGTTTACCAAGTTGTTGGCTTACTTTAAATCACTGATTAAGGCAATGTTCTTTTTTAAATGATTTCCTTAGTACCTTGGTTATCATTAGAGATGGCACAGATATTTTTTAGGGTTTTTTTTCCTCTATCTAAATCTTTGTCAGCAATCTTCACCTCTCAGCTGTCTCCCAAGAATTTTAAATTTGCTGGGGCATCTCCTTTCATGATTACTGGTAAGAAATAACTCAAGTAATTAAAATAAAATTTGTCTCAGCACTAGAAGCCATGAGACCAAAAGATCTTATTTCAAACCCTGTTTAAAACTGTCCACATAAAAATTATTGAATTAAATAATTTAGACTTGTAATTTAAAAAAAAAAATTCTCATTAGAACATCTATGGGATTTGCAATTTTGTTTTCTCCTTCCTCATATTCTCGCACAGATAAAGCATAAAAAGATGAACCAGAAACATAAACTACCGTGCCTCTGTACTGTTTTCTCCCACCTGTTTCTTTACATGCTGAAGTTTTCAGATTTTTTTATTTATTGTTCTTTTTGTAACATTAAGAGAAGCTTCATATGAGTATCATTGACTATAGTTAATAAAACTAGTAATGATAAAAAGAGTAAGTCATTTAAAAAATCAAAATCATAACAAGAAATAATTGTAACAATATAAAGATACCTGTATTTCGCAGAATTTCCACAAGTTTTTCTCTTTTTGAGTACTGGCCAACTTGGAGAACAGTCTGCTGAACATCTCTACATGCTCCCCCCACTTGTCCAACAGCAACAAATAAATAATTCGACTTTAAAAACTCTCCAGCCAACCTTGAAAAACCAAAGATTATTCCTTCATTTATCTTCTTCCATTAATACAATACTTACTAAATTCCTACAAGTGTTACTTCAATATCAATTAGACAGTGATTGTAACATCTATAATAAGGCAAAGTGGTAATTTATTATTTTAAAATTCTTAACTATATTTGGCCCTCCATATCCATGAGGTTCTGCATCCATGCATTCAACCAACCACAGATCAAAAATATTTCTAGGGAAAAAAATTCCAGAAAGTGACAAAATATAAAACTTGAATTTGCCATGTGCCAAACACTACTCTGAATCTACTGGGATGCAGTGATGTGTAAGCACTTCCTGCTGTAGCTACCCACCATTTCACAGACCCTCCAACCCTCTCCAGCACTTGCTGAGCATTGTTTGCCTTGTGTCTTGTTAGCTCACAACTTGTGTTGTGTGCACTCTTTGTTTCTGTGAAAAAATGGCTCCTAGAAGGGAATTAAGTGATCAAAGCAATCCCTCAAGAGCACAAAGGGAGCATAAAGTGCTACTTGCACAGCATTTACATTGTATTTGGTATTATAAGTAATCTATAGATGATTTAAAGTATATGGGAAGGTATGTAGTTTATATGCAAATGATACAGCATCTCATATAATGGGACTTGAGCTTTCATAGATTTTGAAATTGGTTGCAAGAGGGGGGTTTCCCCTGGAACCAATCCGTTGTGGATACCAAGGGATGACTATACTAGTGAAGAGGTTGATGTCGTATTATAGACAGTAACTGCAAGGAAATCTTCTGGCCATGCAAAACTTTATGAAATGTGTATGGAACAATAAAAACAAAGTGTCTGGAATTAAAACATCAGACTTTAATCAACAGGAGTTTTTATTAAAAATTGAATAAGCTGTGGCAGTTAAGTTTGTGTGTCAACTTGGCTGAGCCTGGTTGAGTGGCTGGGCAGCTGGATGTAGTATTCCTCATGATGAGACTGGTAATCAACTCCATAGTGGAATCTACTGGGAGCAGCTGAGTAGCTGCCTTAAGGATGTGGTCGTCTTCCTGTATATAAGCAGAAGGCTTGGAGAACAGTCTCTAGCTTATGGCACACTTGGACCCTGCATGCAGCCATGTCATTGTTCAGCAGCCTATCATGCTCTGCTGACCTTGAGACTTTCAACAGACTTGAATTAATGGCCTGCCATGTGGTTTAGTAACATCAGGACTGTGCCTGTTTACTTGTCAACCTTGGGCTTGGCAGCCTCAGGAGACAACAGCTGTCTGAGTGAAGAAAAGCTTCTAACTCCAGTGGCCCAGGAGCAGGAGGCAGAGCTGGACCCCAAGGTTGAGGGGTTTTCACCCAGCCCCTAGTGGCACTTTGAACTCGGACTTAAAGCCCCCCCAAACTGTAAGAGAATAAACTCCTGTTTGTTAAAGCCATTCCATTTGTGGTATATTCTTGTCAGAGCAGCACTAGGTAACCAGAACATAAGCCAATAGCACAAATTCTGTTCTTCATTCATTGCTTTTATGTATGTATATAAAATTTTGTTCTTTATTCATTGCTTTTATGTATGATATTGCTAAGCGGCATTTTCTGAAAATAGCACCTTTTAAATCACTAAGCTTCAAAGGAACAATTATTAGAAAACCATATCGAGATCAGTGCCTTACATGTCATGACACACATAGAAAATGGTGGTATTTTATAGCACAGTTGGGCAAACAAATGAGACGAGGTGAAGGGTGCATGGGATAAGGCCATTGCTGGCTATGGTGCTCACTACTCCTAAGACTGAGGGAATCAACACCTTGACACATGTAATTCACTGACAGTGTACAACTGAGAAGTCCTGCTTTAGATCATCCAGAAATATAGGGCAAAAAATCACCAATTACAGCGCTAAGTTTGTAGGGATACCAGGAAAGTCCCAAACCTACCAAAGTAGAACTGTCCCGTAGGCTATAATCTCTACAGGAGCAGTCTGTCAGTTTCTTCTCCCAGTGGAGTCCCCAGATTGAGGTTCAAACCTTCATCTTTTTGGTTTGCACTCAAGTGTTTAATATGTGTGCATCATTTGTACCACGAGAGCACCTTTTTCCCTTATTTTCTAGCTGCCTGACAGAATGTTACAGAAATAGCTCAAACTTAGCATATACAAGATCTTAATGAAACATTCTTTGTTTCACCTCACCTGCTCTCTTCCCACAAAAGGGGGAGGAAGCTTTTTGATATATTTCCTTCTAAAGTCAAGCACCTTCTTACCAAAACATAAAACCTTGAAATCATCTGAAATTCTTAATTATTCAACATCCTTTCATTCACTAAGTGCTTTGTGTCAAACATACACAGTACAAAGTACTGAGATGCCTGCCTCTGAGGTGCTCATATCAAGCAAGACATCGCTATATAAAAAATAATTATAATTTAGTGTTAAAACAACACTTACTATATTTCAAGAACCATGTTTAGTGGTTTTATACAGTTTCTTTCATAAGATACAGTGGCCAGGAAAAGATTAAATGATGTCTATTTAAAATAATCTTCAAGTTTGAAATCTGACTTAAGGAAGCAGCAAGCAAGTTAGCCATAACCCAGGGATCAACATCACCCAGGAACTGTCAGCCTGACAGAATACTGGAAGAGTTGGCTAAAGAACAGGGCTGGCATAAAAGTAAATTTTTATGAAGAGTGGGTATCGTCCAACAAGATGCAGTATGTTCTTCTAATCAGAGACCTCATGTGGTACATGAGTCTGGAAAACAAGGGATAGGAGCAAGAATGTCCCACTTATTAGCATTCAAGTGCCCCACACCTGGGAAATCCATGCTTTCTGTCCCACTAACAACTCTAGATTCTGCAGATTTAGAGGTCCTGATTCCCAAAGAGAGAACAGACCCAACAAAGAAAACAGCAAAAGTCCTAGTGAATAATGTCTTACCAGTTGCTGCTTAGGCACTTAAGGCTACCTGTGCCAAGGGACCAGCAGGCAGCAAGAGGAGTCAAGATCCTAGCAGGCAAGTGCTATTCTAATTAGAATTCACCAGACCAATAGTATAGTATGATTCCCAAGTATCTGTTGTCAATTCACATACATGTGAATTTTCTACCTAAGGCTCAACTCTCCTAAGATCTGTAAATTTAGGTTTGAAGAGATGGCATAATAATAAGAACACCTTCATTTAGTAAGCAGTTACTAAATTACATCTAGGTACTGTTACAAATATATTTCTATAGACCCAGACAAACTCACCACGCTGAGAGAAGTAGAAATACGTATGTATAATATATGTATGCATACATATATACAGTTGTATGTATATAAATACATACACACACACATTTTTAACAAAATGGGATGGTAATGCAAACTAGGAATAAGAGAAACACATGAAAAGTTGTAAACGTTAAGAACACATCTATTTCTTAAATATCTATGTTAAAATCTTTAAAAAAAAAAACTATCAAAAATAAGATAGTGACATTACTTCACCTTCCATAAAGATATTTATGTATATACCCAAATTATTTTTAAGAAGGAAAAAATTCACCTTTGAATTTCCTCTGGAAAAGTTGCACTAAACATAAGGGTTTGACGCTGTTCCTTTGATGGCATTCCTGGGGAGGAAATTAACTTCTTCATTTCTGGACCAAAACCCATATCCAGCATACGATCAGCTTCGTCCAAAACTAAGTATTTGACTTGTCTCAGACCAATCTTTGAGAACATTTTCAAGGGTTAGAACAGAAAATACATGCTAATTAATGTATTATACTATTCTCCAATTCCAATTATTAAAATATTTTAAGGTGAAAAACCAGTCATCAATGTAAAACTGATGAAAATTGTTACACTTGGATAATACAATTACTGTTGATAGTTTTCAATTTTCAGTTCTCACTATTCAGTTCTCAATTTTCTCTAATGGTTTAAGACTTTGTAAAATTAAGGCTAAGAGAAACCAAAACATTTAGATCAGTACTGTGCAAAAGAACTTTCTGCAATGACAATAAAAAAACTCTATACCTATACTGTCCAATATGGTATCCACTAGTCAGATAAAATTATTAAGGAACTGAAATTTTAATTTTATATCATTTTTAATTTAAATAGGCACATGTAGGTAGTACCTACTATACTGGACACCATACAGTTCTAGATTGTGTTTGTTATCTGATAAAATCAGACACTTCAATGTAAGAAACAAAATCTGCTCACAGTATGATATATTTAAATGTCATAATGAATTCATTTTTGCTAACCCCTTCACATCTTTAAAAAAAAAAATTATCCTTTCTCTAGTCACTTGGTAATAACTGGAAAATTTCTTTTACTTTTGCACAAATACAGCTATAAACAGAAGCAGACATTTGTAAAAAGAAAAAAAGTGACCCTGGAACCACCATGGAAGGTGTTTCGTAAGGGAGCAAGGTAGATTTCTCTGGATACTCTTAATGAGTATGATGCCTTATACAGGAATAACTTACTTTGAGTAATCCCTGTAAAGAGCCTAAAAAAAATTAAGTTGGTTCATTTAAAATGAGCTTAAAGTGCTAATTTAGAAATGTAATAATTTGGTATGTAAGTACCTAAAATTAAAAAAAAAAAAAAAATTCACTGCCGTCGAGTCAGATCAGACTCACAGTGCCCCCTTCTTGGGTTTCCAAAGTATTATCACTATGGAAGTAGACTGCCCAACCTTCTTTCCAGGAATGGCTGGTGATTTTGAACCGCCAACCTTCTGGTTAGCAGTCAAATGCCTTAGACACTACAGCACCAGAGCTCCCGATTCCCTAAAAAAGCAGCCCTAAAGTCACTTCTTATAAACGGAAAATTAACATCACTCCCACGCTTAATCAGGAGACAAAGTTACTGATACCACAAAAACTTTCTTCCATGAAAAAAAAAACAAAACTATTTTATCAAGGCATATATGAAACTAGGTATAGGTCATTGATGCATTTTTCTCTCAGTGCTGTGGGGTATAAGAGTGGATTCTGGAAATGAGATACCGAGAATATAACCACAGCTCCATCCTTTACTAGAGCTGAGGGAATTAATTATATAATCTTACTGAGTGTGTTTTCAGAAGGATAAAGTAGAAAATACAATTTATCTCATGTTGGGATTATTTTGAGAATTAAATGATAATTTAGTCATTATTTGGGGCCTTACAAATAGTGCTGTAATAAATATTATTTACCACCTATCTTTATCCCATTCTTCCCCTTTCCCATACCAAAAAAATATTAATCAATCCCCACAATTTTGTTATCACTCTAGGGCCTACCTTTTCTTTACCTATGATATCCATCAGTCTTCCAGGTGTAGCACATAATACATTACAGCCTTGTACTATTTGTCGAATTGAATGTCCCAACTGGGTTCCCCCATAGATAACAACAGCTCTTACACAAGTCCTATTGACAAGAAAAATTAATATCATTTTCTAGCTATGTGAAAATTGGGCACTTTCTTTTAACAAGATGCCAAACAAAATGCATAAAGAAAAACTGAATACACTTAACTATCTAAAAACAAAAAAACATTCTGCCCAGAAAGCAGTCAAAAAAGTAATGCTGTGAACAAAATGTGCAAACCACACAAGGAAAATGCTAAAAAACTCAAAATCAACTGCTCTTCTGCGATCCATTAGAGAACTGAAGTCACAGAGCAACCTACTACACCAAAAACTGGAAAAACAGAGGCTGATACAGAGAATCACTGCTGATAAGGAGAGAAACTACGTCAGTTACATGCAAAATCAGGTAAAAATACTTAAAAGAGGATAACTGACTGGAAACTAAACATGGACTAGATTAAGGGATGATAAATGCGGAGGGCCAAGTCTTAGGGTGGAGCCTCATACCTTCCTTAGTTTTACTCCCAAGATGCCTATCAGCTTCTTACTGTGGAGTTCTGAGAATAATCCCCTCATGCTTCTGTGCTTCTTGTCAGAGGAGAAAAGTAACCATTTTGAAATAGTGCCCTGTTCTCCTCAATAGTGACCTGCCCTCATGGGAAACTACTTCAGCCGAGGCTAATAAATATAAGTTTTATCAGACCATAACTAACATGGAAAGATGGAACCAAATCCAATCCCCTCTACTTTCCATGGGGGAAAGGGAATTACCTCACCAGATGGATAGTATCTGTAAAAAGAGGAAGTAGCTCTATATTAACAGTTAGAAGGAGGCCACAGACTGACTGGAGAAGAGACTCAATTGCTCACACGAGTTCAACTTAAAGCTGAAGAAAATTAAAACAAGACCATGAGATAAAATATGACCTTCACTATTGTTGTTAGGTGCCATCGAGTCGTGTCCAACTTATAGTGACCCCATGCACAGCAGAACGAAACACCATTGGATCACACGCCAGCTCCATGATCCTTGCTATACTTGAGCCCATCATCGCAGCCACCGTGCCAATCCATCTTGTTGAAGCTCTTCCCTTCTTTCATCAGCCCTCCACCTTACCAAGCATGGTATCTTTCTCCAAGGAATGGTCCCTTCTGAAAATATGAGCAAAGCAGATGAGACAAAGTCTGGCCATTCTTGCTTCCATGGAGCATTTCGGCTGCACTTCCTCCAAAACAGACCTATTAGTTCTTTTAGCAGTCCATGGTACTTTCAGCATTCTTCGCCAGCACCACAACTCAAAAGCATCAATTCTTCTTTGGTCTTCCTTATTCATTGTCCAGCTCTCACATGCATATGAGACAAATGAAAATATCACAGCTTGTGTCAAGTGTACCTTAGTCCTCAAAGAGACAGCTTTGCTCCTCAGCACACTTAGAAGAGGTTCTTTGCAGCTGACTGCTGCTTCTGTTGGCATCCACTATAGAACCAAGCAATGTGAATTCTTTGAAGACCTCAATCTTTCACCCATTTATTGTGATGCCGTGTATACGTCCAGTTGTGAGGATTTTTGTTTTCTTTATATTGAGATGTAATCCATACTGCAGATGGTAGTCTTCAATCTTCATCAGTAAGAGCCTCAAGTCATCCTCACTTTCAGCAAGCAAAGCTGTGTCATCAGCATATCACAGGTTCTTAATGATTCTTCCTCCAATCTTGATGCCACGTTCTACTTCATATAGTCCAGCTTCTTGGATTATTTGCACAGCACATAGATTAAATAAGCATGGGGAAAGGATACAACCCTGATGCACTCCCTTCTTTATTTTAAACCACACAATGTTCCCCTGTTCTGTTCAAACAACAGCCTCCTGGTCAATGCAGTTAATTCATGAGTACAGTTAAGTGTTCTGAAATTCCCATTCTTCTCAATGTTATCCACAATTTGTTATTATCCACACAGTCAAATGTTTTTGCATACTCAATAAAACACAAGTAAACATCTTTCTGGTATTCGATGCCTTGAGCCAAGATCCATATGACATCAGCAATGATATCCCTCATTCCACGTCCTCTTCTGAATCCAGCTTGCATTTCTGGAAGTTCTGTGTCAATACACCAACTGCAACTGGTTTTGAATTATCTTCATTAAGATTTTACTTACAACTGGTTTTGAATTAACTTCAGTAAGATTTTAAGATTTTACTTCAGTAGGATTTTAATCAGCTGCATGGCTCCAGGTAAGGACAGGAAACTCAGGCATGCCCAAAGCAGCAGGGTGGGAGAGTATGAAAAAGGGGATTAAAAGCCACAAACCTGGACAGAGGAGCAGTCAGCCGCAGGGATCCAGGTGAGGAGAGAGAACCCAGGCATGCTCAAAGCAGCAGGATGGGAGAGCGGTAGAAAGGGGATTGAAAGCAAGGAACCCGGACAGAGGAACAGTCAGCCGCAGGGATCCAGGTGAGGAGCAGGAACGCAGGCACTCCCAAAGCAGCAGGAAGGGAGAGCAGGAGAAAGGGGGTTAAAAGGCCCAGGAACCTAGACAGATGAACAGTCAGCCACAGGGATCCGGGTGAAAAGAGGGAGCCTAGGCATGCCCAAAGCAGCAGGGTGGGAGAGTGGGAGAAAGGGGATTGAAAGGCCCAAGAACCTGGACAGAGAAGTCAGCTGCAGGGACCCAGGTAAGGGTGGTACGAGAGGTTTCCAACAGGGAGACAAACTTGTCTGTCTGTTTGTCCTACCGTGGTTGGATGTTGATGTGAGTTTTGAGGCTGAGCTACTGGTGTTTCAAACCCAGTGGGATGCACATGGTGCACAGGTATCAGCCCAGCTTACAGACTGAGGCAGACTAGGAAGAAGGAAGAGGCCATGCACTTCTCAAAGAACTGGCCAGGGAAAACCTTATGAAAAGCAAAGAAACACTGTCTGATACATTACTGCGCAACTTTATGAATAGTCTGGTTAGGTTAGAAGGCTCTCAAAATAGGACCGGGAAAGAGTTGCATCATCAGAGTAAACCCAGCCTTACTCATATGGATATGGTAAAGCTTTTGAGACCTCCGTTTGCTGATGTGGCACAACTCAAATTGAGGAGAAACAGCTTCAGACATCCATTAATCATCAGAACATGGAATGTACAAAGTATGAATCTAGGAAAATTGGAAGTTGTCAAAAATGAAATGGAACCCATAAAGATTGATATCGTCGGCATTACTGAGCTGAAATGGACTGGTTTTGGCCATTTTGAATCAAACAACCATATGAACTATTATGCCAGGAATGAGTTTGAAAAGGAATGGTGTGGCATTCATCATCACAAAAGATGTTTCAAGCTCTGTCCTTAAGTACAATTCTGTCAGTGGCAGGATAATATCCATACGCCTAACAAGGAAGACCCGTTAATACAACTATTATTCAAATTTATGTCCCAACCACCAAAGCCAAGGATGAGGAAACTGAAGATTTTTATCAACTTCTGCAGTCTGAAATTGACTGCTCAGCATTTCTCAAGCAGAAAGAATTGGCAGGTGGGGGAAGGCCCTCCAGCCTCTAGCTGCAGTACTGTAGGATTCTACAGGCAAAATACTGAACAATGCAGGAAGTATCAAAAGAAAATGAAAGGAATCCCACAATCATTGTACCAAAACGAACTGGTCAACACTGAACTATTTCAGCAGGTAGCACATCATCAAGAACATACAGTATTGAAGGAAGAAGTCCAGCTGCACTGAAGGCACTGGAGAACAACAAGGCTCCAGGAATACATGGTACACCCACTGACATGTTGAAAACAGGGATTCAGTGCTGGAGACACTCACTAGCTTATACCAAGAAATCTGGAAGACAGCTATCTGCTCAACCAACTGGAAGAGATTTATTTGTGCCCATTCCAAAGAAAGGTAATCCAAAAGAATGAAAAAATTAATTATGATAAAGATAATTCAAAAGTGATTACAGGAGTTCATTGACAGGGAACTGCCAGAAATTCTAGCCTGATTCAGATAAGGGCATGGAATGAGGGATATTATTGCTGATGTCAGACGGATCCTGGCTGAAAGCAAGCAACACCAGAGACATGTTTACCTGTGTTTTGCTGTCCATGCAAAGACATACAAATGTACAGATCCTAACAAATTATGTGCAACACTGAAGTAATGGGAATCCCAGAAAATTTACTTCTGCTCATAAGGAACCAAGAGGCTATTTTTTGAACAGAACAAATCAAGATAAAATCAACCTTGTCCATCAGGGTTATACTCTCTTTCACCCTATTTACTCAATCTGCAGGCTGAGCAAATAATCCAAGAAGCTGAGCTATATGAAGCACATGACATCAGGATTGGAGGAAGACTCATAAACAACCTGCAATATGCAGATGACACATCCTTGCATGCTGTAAGTGAAGAAAACCCCAAGCACTTACAGATGAAGATCAAAGACTACAGCCTTCAGTATGGATTATACCTTAACATAAAGAAAACAAAAGTCCTCACAACTGGACCAATGAGTAACAGCATGATTAATTAAGAAAAGACTAAAGTTGGCAAGGATTTCATTTTTCTTGGATCCACAATCAGCTCCATGATTGCATGGAAGCAGCAGTAAAGAAATCAAGTGACACACTGCCCTGGACAAATCTGCTACAAAAGATCTATTTAAAGTGTTTAAGAGCAAAGATGTCACACTTTGAGGACTAAGGTTCACCCAACTCAAGCCATCATATTTTCAATAGGCTCATAAACATGTGTGAGCTGGACAGTGAATAAGGAAGACTGCAGAAGAACTGATGCATCTGAATCATGGTGTACATGGACTACTAGAAGAATGAACAAATCTGTCTTGGAGCAAGTACAGCTAGAATGCTCCTCAGAAGTGAGAATGACCAGATTTCACTCTCATATTTGGTCATGTTGTCAGAAGGAACCAGTTTCTGGAGAAAGATATCATCCTGTATAAAGCAGAAGGTCAGCAGAAAAGGGGAAGTACGTCAACAAGATGGACTGACACACTGGCTCAAGCACAGCAATGACTGTGAAGAGGGAGAAGTACCGGCAGTGTTT